CCAGTTGAAATGCTTCATTTCCTTGATGATGTTAAGGAATGCAAAATGAATAATGTTGTGTAAATTAGGAGAATTTTGAATATAAAAAGAACAATGTTATTACCCTCTTTAATTATAATGACAGTGTCCTGTTCAATGTTAAACCATGTATGTACTCTTCCCACCCAAAATTTCAAGAAATGGCAAAACATAAAAACTTAACCATTGAATTGCCACCAATCTCTACAAAAAATAAATTCCAAACATTACTGGTTTGTAGGCAACTCAATTAGGTGCGAGTCCCTTTCTTCTTTGCAAGTCTCACAAGTTCGCTATCCCTACCAATTATTAGGGAATGTTGCCTTTTATGTACAAGTTATCTAAAACACTAGGAACTCAAAAACACACCACAAATTCACAATCATTTCATCATAAATAATAATTTAGGGATTTTTTAATACTTGAGTGGGCATGAGTCATCTGAAAATTCCAGTACACAAAGATATAAAAAAATTGGTCTTGATGGGCTAAGAACAGAGCACATAGTTGTGGCACTTTCTGCATACATTTACTTTAGTAATATATGTATGCATGTTAATCAGTTTGCCTAACCCACCAAGCCTTTAAGCCAATCAACGTCCACTTCACAGATCCTACTTTGTGGTGAAAATGACAAAGCAGAAGCAAAATGCATTTTCTATTTCAATTATCTGCTTCGCTGTTCAAATCATGTGTGATTTTATCCTTGTTTTCTCTGGGGAACTTGTTATTTTCTGCCATGATTCACTTTGGACTCATTCTTTTTTTCAACACCTAACACTCTTCGTTTCATCACAGCATTGGTTAATTCCATTTTTTTTTTTGAAGTTGCTTCATCAAATGCAATAAAATTTTCATCCTACTTTTTCTTTTGAGAACAAAATAATCGTATAATATTTCCACTATTTAATTACGTGGTCTCCATTTTCTTAATCCAATATGTTCTTTCTTTTATGGTTTAGGCCAAAATGCTATGAACATGTTCTAATTTTTTTCATCACTTAAAAATGGGAGTAATCCTAAACCCTAATGAATACAACAATTAATACATCAAGATATTTTAAGTCCCCATTATCTGGGAAGGTTGTGGGGAATAACATAGCAGCTAGATCCCTCCCTCCAATGTATAAACAAATCACGAAAATCTCAAACAATATCAAACCCCACATTAGAGTTAGATGTAACATATTTCTTAAACTAGTATTAACTTTACTGTGGATAAATGTTTTATTTTATATAGCGTTGGTGTCAGTTAATTTTGTGTGAAGTATATTTACATTTGACCTATAAAATAATTTTTATAAGAAAAATAAATGATTTTTTTTATAAGTTTATTTAATAGAAATTATTTCCTATAATTTCTTATTTTTAACTTGTGTGGACAATCCTTTAGAAATTCTTACAAAAAATGATGTTCAAACAAACTTCATGTATCCATCATTATTCGCTACCTTTTGGCTTTTTAATCATTCTAAATTTAGTGAAATTTTTCAGTTTGATTCCATTTTTAAATGTTGAAATATCATATCATTGGGACTAGAATAATGGACTGACTAGTTTGAATAATCTATAAATAATGAAATAAGAAAATGTTAAAATAATTACTTATTTACTAAACAAACAAGATTTTCATTAAAAAAAACTTATTTTTAAAATAACCAGGTCAAACTAACCTTAAAAAAACATAAATATATTTATTTTACTTAAAAATATATAAAGAAATGAATAAAAAATCAATAATATAATTATAAATTATATATAATAATAGAGGAAAAATAACCTCCTAAATTTAAATGATAAAAATAGGTTAGTTTATCATATTTTTATTCAATAAAAAATAAAATAGATTGACTCGTTATAATTAAAATGAATTATATATTTTAATTTAATTTATTAAATGATTGGAGGAAGGTAACATTTTTTTATATATATAAATATTTTTAAATCTTTATTTATTCATTAATATTTTTATTAAATAAATTAAGCAATATTACATTTAAGTATTAAAATATTTAATTATAATTAGTAATGTAAATTTAATTAATTATTATTTATAATTTAAATGATAATATTATAATATATTTATATATTTTAAAATTATAATATAAAAATATAATTTTTTTAATTATAATTTTTTAAACTTTAATATATAAATATTTTTAAAAAATAGATTAATCAATTATTCAATCTTTTAAATTGACAGAATAAATAAAATGGATTAAACAAATAAATGGATTAAAACTATTATTTTATTTTATAAGACGAGATGATAAATTGATTCACTTATTAGTCCATTTTATCATATTGTCATAATACATAAGCTACAGTTTTTTTTTTTCCTAAAAATATTCCCATTTTCTATTCTTTCTTTCAGTTTCATTGTCATTATATTCGTGTATCAGTGATTAAATTCTTCTCCACAATATAGTGAATGATATTATTGGTGATATAAATATTATTTAATGGCCACAAATGTGATTAAAAAAAATCCCACAATGCCATATTGTCAAGGACACAACACAACCAATATTCCCTACTTTCTTCATTATATATCCACAAATTTCTTATGTTTTAATTAAATAATCTCATTTCTTTAATAAATACATTGTTCTCATTATAATAAAGGGAAAGGGGAAATGACTAATTTTATGACAAATATTAATGTTTTATTATAGGATGTAAGAACAAATTATATAAATAAAAAAAACTAATGCTTTATTAGGATATATTATTTTTAACAATAGGTCTATTATTTTATTATTATAATTGTAAAATGTTTAACAAATTTAAGATGATAAAAATGGTAAAAGTACATTAAATAGTTTAAAAATATTAGTTATTTTGATTTCAATTTGTATATTAAAATAAAAATAATTAGATTATGTTTGATTGAAATAAAGTTTGGACAGAAAAAATAGGAAGAGTAATTGAGATCATTAAAAATATAAGGATAAGGATTTAGATGATTGTTGACCTAAATATTATTGATGATACGGTGACTAGAAGCAAAATGAATTTTGATTATTGTAATTATTAGTCGATTATTATTCAACTCAACATTAATGATGGGTTTAATTGAGATGTGATGCTTTACTCGATTATATTATTTATCTCCCAAAAACTTGTGAATGACATTTCCCTAACTTTAGAATGTAAATAACGATGACATTCTGCCACATGCTTCTGTTTTTCATCTCCTCGTGTCGGAACAGGAGAAACAGGACCCACTTCGCCACCTCAAACACAAAACCCTTTTTTTCTAATCAAACAAACATTCACTATGATTTTTTATTACGCTTCTCTCATCAAAATTATTTCATCACTAAATATATTTTCTACATTTAAATTCTTTTTCTTTCTTCTATCGTGTTTGTCAATGATTAAGTAAAACAATTTTAATTACAAAACTTATCTATCCATTGAAGGTTATGAAAGTTTAAAGTTAGATAAAAATTAAAACTATAAATATCATCTAATTATATGTTTTCAAACTTTTAATATTTTATTTTGAATTCGTTAAAATATAAAATAAAATATAATGGAGAAGAAGATAAAGTGGTAATTTGCAATATGAAAAGTTGGTCAAATGATTATGCATTTTGGCTTACATAGAGACAATGTTGCTTATCGAAGACCAACGAATTTGTCCATCATCTTGCAACCACTCGACTCAATAATATCTCAAATCTCAATAATAACTGACATTCATTAAAAAGTAGGTTTTAATCGTTAAAGTTAATTTTTGTTAGTAAAAGATAATTTGTGCTGATTAAAATTTTCATTTCATAGAATATAATTTGTTAAAAACCATGTCTACATCGGAAACTATTTGTCTCATTATTTCTTGTGTCCCTGATAAATCTTGAAGCCCATAGTTGTAATTTCATTACAAAAAGGTGGTATAACTGATTTTCAAAAGGATGATGCAGAACGAGCTGGTATGATCCATTATTGATTGCATTAATACAGCTGGGATAAGTTACAGAGAAAAAGAATATTAGCTTCCCAAATACTCTTCTTTTTATCATATATATAACGAGTTTTTTCTTTTTTCAAAAAAAAAAAAAAGTACAGAATCTTTTTTTTTAATAAAAGAACTTTGTGAAAGTCCAATTTCTTTGTGGAAAAACACACATTATCTGCTCCGGTTGATTCCAGGCGTTCTTTTATCTTCTGATTGCGAAAGGAAAAACTTAATATAATATTAACCAATTGCATAAAAAATAGTCTTTTTAGGCCCTTCATCACTTGAATCTCCCTGTTAACTAGTTAAACACGTGTACGACGTTTAAATTGAAAAATTCACCATTTAAGGATTTATTGAAAACAAAATTAACATAATGTAAACATTATGTGAGATTCCAAGGGGTGATAGTATGATGGAGATGAAACTTTATATCTATCTAATTATAAAACAACAAATCCATAATTTAAAACCAAATACAAATGTTGTTTGTGTTATTCTGTAATTAGATTTTTAGTATTATTTCGAACATTTAATGAAATATTTTACTATAAAATGTCAAAGTTTTGTTTTTTACTACTTTATTAAAAGCATTCATCCGAAGATGGTTTGAGTGTGAAGAGGCAGTGAGATTTACTGTGTGGTGAATAATATTCAGGGCATGTGGAGATGTAGATAAAGTAGACAGTAAAGTTAAGAAAAAGTAGGTAACTAGTAACTACCTTAGCATGATGATGCATGGAATTTAAGGAAGGAGGGTGATGAGTGAGAAGAATTTGTTATGTGAGAAAAGTTGCAAGAAAGAAGTGGGCTTAGGCTAAAAACAACCAAAGGAGGTTACCTTACATTCCACGTTTCTTCCTCCCTCCCCAAACAGCAGTATTTATGACCTTGTTTTTCTATCTTTCCTTTCCCCTCACATTCATACCTCCACCTTCACTTCCCTCATTTTCATTTCATCCACCTTCCCCTTCCCTTTCTCTTCTAAATACCACAAAGTTCCTTTCTTTTTCTTCAAATGGAAAAAGTTTCTGTGCTGTCCAAGGAAGACGATTACATGGATTTGCCTCCGGGATTTCGGTTTCATCCCACCGATGAAGAGCTTATTTCCCATTACCTTTACAAGAAGGTTATTGACACCAAGTTTTGTGCTAGAGCCATTGGAGAAGTCGACCTCAACAAGTCTGAGCCTTGGGATTTACCTTGTAAGTCAAAACAATTCAATCAATTTGCTTTTATGTATTGTGTTGCGTTGATTTTTGGTTTTCTTTAAGATTAAAACTTGGAGGTTGTATAGGGAAAGCAAAAATGGGCGAAAAGGAATGGTACTTTTTCTGTGTGAGGGATAGAAAATACCCCACTGGGTTGAGAACCAACAGGGCGACTGAAGCCGGGTACTGGAAAGCCACGGGGAAAGATAAAGAGATTTTCAAAGGAAAATCTTTGGTCGGAATGAAAAAAACTCTTGTTTTCTACCGAGGTCGAGCACCCAAAGGAGAGAAAAGCAACTGGGTCATGCACGAGTACAGACTCGAGGGGAAATTCTCTGTTCACAACCTCCCCAAAACCGCAAAGGTATCGTATTGTTATTCTTATTTCATTCTTTTGATTGTTCTCTTTTTCACCAGTGCTTCCTTTGTTTTCTACTTGGATTTGTTTTGTTTCTTTTCATGATTGTGGTTGTTGTTTTGTGGCAGAACGAGTGGGTGATTTGCAGGGTGTTTCAGAAGAGTTCAGCGGGGAAGAAAACTCATATTTCGGGGATAATGAGGTTGGATTCCTTTGCAAATGAATTGGGTTCTTCTGCTCTGCCACCCCTTTCGGATTCTTCTCCTTCTGTTGGCAACACTAAACCGCTCAATGAATCGGCTTACGTGCCCTGCTTCTCCAATCCAATTGATGTTCAAAGAAATCAAGAAGGGTTCTTTGATTCCTTCAACAACTCTACTTACGGGGTTTCTTCAAATCCTTTGGACTTTCTTCCAAGAATGCCACCTTCTGCCTCGTTCTACTCCACTCAAGGTGTTCAAGCTGTGCCTAATTTGACATTTCCCGGTTCTGTTTACGCTCTGCAGGACCACACCATTCTGAGAGCTATGAGTGAAAACAATGGTAATGGATACAAATCAGAGAGGGACATGATCAGCGTCTCACAGGAAACGGGTCTTACTACTGATATCAACCCTGAAACCTCTTCAAATTTTGATATGAATAGGAGGCACTTTGACAATCACAGTCATCCACCTGTTTCTGTTGCCCCTTTGGATCTTGATGGTTTGTGGAATTATTAAGTTATAATATAAAGGACCTTCAACAATGAAAAGTGAAATTAACCCCACTTTTGAGCTATAAGGAAGAGAAACAAGAAGAGCCTTGGATGGGGTTGAGGCTGTTATTTCACTGTATAGATTTTATCCAAAATCATGTATTGAAGCATATGTTAAGTGTAAGAAATCTTGTGAAATTAATTAGGCTGGTCTTGTCTTCTGACACTTTAGGTTTGTGGCTGGCATTAGCATTAGCATGAACATGATTGTTTTGTTTCAGCTTGGATTGAAAATCATAATAGAACGAGACTGTTGGATTAAGATTTAAAAATAATGATCGTGTACCGTCGTAGCTTGTTGATCTTGCTTTTCTGGTTTGGATCAGTATAGTCCAGCTAATACCGAGACCAAGACCAAGACCAAGAGCTTGATTCAGTTAATGTTTGAATTGAATAGCATATTTTAATTTTAAAATGTGGGGCTGTACGGTTACCAGAGAAAATCCTTCAATTCTCTATCTCTCTATTTGGACACACGTGCACGAGCATACTTTGACATAGACAAATGTTAACAAACTTATCTGGATTTACCTACTCCTAACCTCACTGTGCAAATCACGACTCTGAAATCTGAACTTCTCCTCCCTTTCTCTTTCTGTTTACGTGCGTGTGTTAATGACAAGACAGCATGATTCATTGTCAAATGCAAAAATTCAAACGTTTTTACCTAAAAACATCAGAGCACACCACTCTAGTGGTGTTCAGATTTCACACCAATCTCTGGTTTATCTCTTCCCTATGTTTTTCATGTTGTTAATAAGAAGGATGAGAACAACCGAGTTTCATCCCAGCCCATTATCAAGCAGTTTCTCAAAATTAAAAAGAGTAGTAAATCTGATGGGTTTAGTTTGTAGCGAAGTACAAGCCAATTAAGAACAAAAACAATTTGTGCTAGTGCAACCACCAACATATTAGTATTGAATATGACACGTAATAAAATCCATGCAGGACCAATTGCATGGCGACTGCAATAAAAAAAATCAAAGTATAAGGCTCAAAAGAAAAATGCATATGGTCTAATATACTACCACTTTTATCTTGATATTTTGTTTGTTGTTCTTGTGCTTTCAATCAAATTCCATTCCATTGAGCTATATTTATTTAGCATTAACACTTGGACTATTATTGATGTATGCTGCATATAAAATAACGTAAGGGTGTGAAAGTTGTAGAGGATAATTCATTTTCATGAATAATTAAAATTATTTTATTACAAAATATTTGTATCATATCCATAATTGAAAATTTTAAAAGTACACTTGAAAAAAAAAATAAGAATTTGAATTTTTTTTTATATTATCTCTTTTGGTTTGACTATATTTTTTAATCAATGTGACTAATTTTTTGAAGTTGTTAATGATTTTTTATGTTAACTAGGGAAAGTTTTCACAAACCTTGATTAGGAATGCTTTTTTATTTTAGCCAATGTGAATTGGGATATTTTTCAAGCCACATAAAATGAAATTCAATATATTATAATTTATTGAAAATGATAAAATTGTACACCGAAAAGCATGGCTTGTCTGTATTTGTGATGATTTGAATGGATGAATTCATCCATTTCTGAATGCATGAAATGAATTCCATTTTTAAGGTGTAATGGCATGACATGAGAGCATTGATCTTGTTTTTCTTATTTTGTCCAAAAATACAATATACGCATATCTTTTGTCCATGTGGTGTTTACATTTATGTCACATGATAAATCCTCTCAAAAGTCCACCAATTTGAGTCCTGCACGTCTTCATCCCAACTACATGAAAACACAGCCAATTTGTCTTTTTACAATTTTTCTCTCACTCACTTTGATGTTAATATTTCACTTTCTTCATCATATAACCACACCAATCCAACGCCCTTATCCTTTCTGAAAATTTTAGGCCCCCTTCTACATTGCTCTACCTGGTGTTTAATTTTATTTAGTATACTCTACTGTAGGAATGAGATTGAAATAAAAAATTAACTTTGAAAGAGGTGTTACAAGTTTTGTGCCTTTATCCTTTGATTGGTGCAATTGTGGTATAAGTTTAGAAACGCCAACTACCTTATCATCATCATTACTGAGCTATGGCCTATGGCATTCCCCGGTTCAAAATTGGAAAATTAAACCATGATTAGGTTCTCAAAAGTAAACCTTTCGCTTTCAACCAGACTAAACTTTTTTTATTCTTGTTAGTTTTTCTTCACAGTGTTTCTGTCCACACCATCATATTTTTTTGTTGGGTATGCAGGAGAAGCACGGTGGACCCTGAAAACCTGTTTTGGTTAACAAAGATGGTATTAGTGCGATTAAAGAAAGAGATGTCATAGCGGAAGTCTTATCTTTATCTTGATTATTATTACATGGTGGTGACAGAAAATAAGTGAAAAATAAAATAAAATTGTATGTGGTGGCATCTGAGATTGTGTTGGGAACGCAGTGGTACCAGACTGACCTTAACTTGGGAGTGGCAGTGGGAGTGTGTCCCACACTGCGTCATGTCAGACTAAGGAGAAAGTTAGGCCCTTTTAACGGTCCACACCACCCCACCACTTCCTATTCAAAATTTTACTTCAATTCAAATTATCAGTATATAAATAAAGAGTAATTCTAGTTTTCTATGTTAATTTTATCATGCAAAAAATGAATGAGAATGTGACAGTTTCAGGTGCCTCTTTCTTGCCAAATGTCCCTAGCTATGTTTGAGATTTTATCATAATTATTGTGAACATGGTGAAGATTATTGTGATATAATACTTAGAGTGCACAGAAGTTACTTCCGTGTGGCAGTGCCCTCCCAAAGTCTAAAAGGCAAAAATTCATTTCCATTATTGTGATTCTGGTCTTCATGGCCCACTCAGCCTCCAATCATTGTTCTCTCCATAAGAGCTCGGGAACAAATACTCACAAGCCACGTTCGATTCTTACTCAAACATTTTCAGTTGAAAAAAATATAAACACTAACGAATTGGCTCACCTAATAATCGGACATTAGTGATATTTAATATACATAATTTTACACATGACCTTATTTTTTAATAATTCTCTTCATTGATGTTGCACAACGATGCCTGCAAATGAGTACATAGGAGACGACGTGTACGAGATGATGTTGCCACGTGTCATTATCATTGGCTAACCACAATGTTGATTCTTACTATGATTAGGTAATGTCAATTATTTCACACCCTTAATGAGGTCTTGTTATGCATATACGTCCAACATCATATCCAAATAAAGTAAGTGGAAATATTATAAAAATTAAAGACGCAAACAATGAACAGAAACTTGAGATTTTTGTAGAGAGTATAATTCAAAGCAGAAGAGTGAAAGGTCAATCTTATCCTTATTTCCTTGGCCTGGTAAGTAACCACACAAAATGATTGCAGTGTGGTGTAGGAGTGAGACATTTCAAGAAAATGGCCATTTTCCTAGAATAAGAAATGAAATGGTTAGTTAGTACATTCCTTTTATGCATAAATGAAACTAATAGTAAAGGGGATATCATTCAACAAATCGATACGCATTCATCCTAGCCCATGCACCACATCATGTCAATGCCACATATGGAACCATGTAATTGGCTTTCAGGGAAAGTGAGGTTAGCTTGTGTGAAAGGGCTGAAGAGAATGGTGTTTTGATCTGGAAAAGATTATACAAGTTACAACCACACCTTGGGGAAATCCAGTTGGGACTTCAATTGAAAAGCTTGTTGGATTTTTGTTTGGGAAGGGAATGGTGTCATTGTTCTCCACAAAACTTCTAAACGCATATGCGACAAATAGTTTCTGGTAAAACTTCATATGCTCACCTTTCTTCTTAGTCCTCCAGATTAAGGCCAAATATTTCAACTTGATTACACTAGGCCACTAAAGTAATAGGGTCAACTCTTAGGGAATTGCTTCCATCCACATCATATGGATATGATTGCTAAGGCTGATTTTGGAGGTGGTGTGAGTGTGGTATTTTTATAAGAATAAATCACGATTTTATCTCCTTTTGTCACAAAATCAACAAATTTCTAAGTTACACTTGTGTTTCTCAAAACTTTGATGGAAAAGATAACGAAGTGAAGCAAATAGTATTTGACTTTTAATTTACCAAATATCCAAATGAATCCAAAGAGCGTAGAACCATACACGTTGTTTTCATTATTGATAGAGGTGTAAACAAATAGGAAAGTAGTTTTAGTGAGTGATTAGATTTTTGTGAAGAAGTACAGAAGCATTATCCAATATGTGGATAATATCATATTTAATTTCCGTGTTTAAATACGCTGATAATCCCCTCTTTTTACCAAAAATTAAAAAAACGTCGATTAATTGGAATGCAATAAGAAAACACGCGTGAAAATATATACAGTTGCTTACTTTCTTGGCAATTTCCAAAAGCCTTACTTTTGATCTCTTTGACTTGGATTGGAAATGATTCGAATTTGATAGGATGGAGATGTGCCTCCTAACTTTTGTGTTTTCTCAACCTTTTTGCAAACACTTGAGATTATGATATATTCTTCCTTGATAGCGACCTTTTGTGCTCATCTTTATTCTCCATTACCTTCCCATTATGGTATGTATAATTCCACTGACTTATGCCATGAATATGGTGATCCAATATCAATTCATGGGAAAAGCATAACCATTTTTTTTTTTTGGTGTGTTAACTTGTTAACAACATGAACAATACAATGACAGAGATGATTTCTAGATGGCCCGTTTGGAAGGAGATCCTTGTTAGATCAAAGATTGAGCTTAAATTTAAGCCCACCAAATGAACACTCCTACAACATTGGACAAGTTAAAATCTTTTAAGCAAATAAGGTGATTTTTGTCAGTAGCTGCTGGATGATCCATGAAGATCACACCCATAAGGTTTTGTATGTCACCTTTGGCTTTGTTCTTGATTCTTTGTTATTGGTTTAATGTACCCCTTAATCATAGTGGGACTCACAATATTAATTTGTTTGACGACATATTTCATAAATA